CGCGAGATCGAAGGCTCGGCCTCACCCTGACCTGCTCGCGCATCGACACCGACCAGCCCGTGAGAGTCAACGCGGCGCGACTGATGCACGAGGCGGTCTCCGAGATCGCTCGAGATCGCTCGAGATCGCTCGAGATCGCTCGAGATCGACCCAGATCGACCGAGATCGCTCGAGATCGACCCACACCCCGCCCGCATCGCCCGGTCATTCCCGCACTGCACCATGTCCGGCGGAGGGGACGCTTCTCGGAACCTTCCCCCAGGTGCTGGAGCTGTCTGGAGGGGAGCCAGAGGCGCGTCGTGCCGCTCGGCCACTCAAGCGGGGGGGGGCGGTCGAGATCGCACGAGATTGAGCCGAGATTGAGCCGAGATTAGGCGCGCGTCGTGCTGCTCGGCCACTCCAAGGGGGCGGTCGACGCCGCCGCCGCCCTCTCCCTCTTCCCCGAGCTGCGGGGCCGCGTGGCGGCGCTCGTCTCGGTGCGGCGCTTTAGATGCGAGAGGAGCCGAGAGGAGGCGAGGGGAGCCGAGGGGAGCCGAGGGGAGCCGAGGTGAGCCGAGAGATAAGCTGGTCAGTACACGCATCCCTGCAACGCACCCCTGGTCAGTACACGCATCTCCCCACACCTCCCCACACCTCCCCACATCTCCCCACATCTCCCCACCTCCCCCCCACCTCTCCCCACACCTCCCCACACCTCCCCGTATCTCCCCATTTCTCCGACGGGCGTGCGGGTCAGGAGGCCGTGCCTGATTCGGAATCGCGCGAGATCAGGCGAGATCGACACGGAGGCGGCGGCGTGGGCGAGCGCAGAGGCGGCGGCCAATGCCGCGATTGACGAGGCGCTCGGAGATGTGGGGAGATACGGGGAGAGATATGGCCAATGCCGCGATTGACGAGGCGCTCGCGCGACTCCACTCTCCGCCCTCCTCCCTCCTGCCCCCTCTCTCCTCTGCCGCCTCCTCCCTCCGCTCCGCTCTCCTCTCCCTCCCTCCCTCCCACACCTCTCCGCTCCTCCCTCCTCCCTCCTCCTCTCCTCTCCTCCCTCCTCCCTCCTCCTCTCCTCTCCTCCCTCCTCTCCCCCCTCCTCTCCTCCCTCCTCTCCTCCCTCCGCTCCTCTCCGCTCCTCCCTCCTCTCCTCCCTCCTCCCTCCGGCT